AGTGGAACACCATTAGATGGGATGATAGCAGGTGGAAGAGGTCCATACGTATTGGATGGATGTGCGCTGATTATGTCTGTTGAATAGTTCTATACATCCGAATCAGAAATTTTTTGTTATTATTTATCCAAGATGGTGGACCATTGTAGGTCCTCACAGCTGGACTGAGTAACACAACCTCCCTCCTTCAAGGTAAGGTGAAAAAAAATAGCTTTACATGCCAAACAGTGAGATAACAGTCTACATAGAATAAATGTTAGTGCTTATTTACATCGTGCAAGGGTTGGCCTCAATGTCATTCAAGAACGAGGCAGCACGAGGTGACTTATACAGTTAGGTTAGAGGGTAGGACACAGGTGGATATCACGAACAACCAAGCAAAAGAATGGATACATCTGCCAATGTTCCCACCTCCAAAGGCTCAAAATCCAGCTTGTCTAGCAGGGAGTCTTCAGCAATTGTGAGTACGTTTGGACAGTTGAGCTTGTGTTGTTCACAGCACCGTGCTCGTGGGACGGCATTTGTGCACTCGGAGTAGAAATGCTCCCTTGGGAGGATGGTTTTCGCCTCGTGGATATTGTTCTTTGAGCTTGTATCAAATGCACATGCCGGTTTTCACATGCCCACGTTCTGAGACCAATTAACCCCCATATCCTGGGTTCATGACAGGGGTGATGGATGAACCAAATCAGTGAGCTGAAAAATGCTCGAATGCTCAGTGGAGTTGGGTAAAGTTGAGTTAGTCATTTAATCCATTGTTAATTGTAATATTTATTTGTGTGGCTTTAACTATGACTGTTTAAACTAAAGAAGCTGTTGCCGCTCAAGTCTTATAGTAATTGGACTGCAAACATCAAAACATGCTTGGGCTGATCTGTGAGCTTCATGAAGACCAAAAAACAATCATCTGTCATGTCTTCCACTGCATAAGCGAACGGCTTACACAAGAAATAGTGGCTTATTGCCATGTCTTTAGTATTTAGTAAGTGCATGGTAGCGACATGTGCATAGATACAGCGGAGAAAAACAAACAGGAACGCCCAGGCTTTAACATGATGGAGTAATCAAGAGCTGTTGGAAAGAATGTCAACAATGGGCCAAGTGCATGAAGGAGACTTATGGAGGAACTAAGTGAGGGACTGACGTTGTTTAGCATACAGTCGCATAAATTACGCCTTCATCGCTGCTTCTTTCACTGAGGAACAGTTGCTGAGCTTGCACCATCTTTTCCGGTGTCCTTAAGTCTCTCTGACCGCTACAACAGCTGTGGCTCGAGTGCCTGGCTGGAGGACTCCTCATTAAATGCTGAAGGAGTTTGGGTGCTTTTTTTTTTTTTTCAATCCAAGTTCCCCACCCATGTATCTCCAGCCTGTCCTTCGATTCAAAGTGACAGCTTTTCCGTCCCATGCCTGCCTCCGCTGTGTCTGAGCTCCCGCTGCCTAATCATGACCATCCAGGAGAAAAATCCATGTTGAATCTGGTCTGTACGCTGCATGGGCGTTGGTGAAAATGTTCCACTGGGCGCTTGGGGGACAGAGATCTGCTAAACCCGGCCATTTCTTGGGAAAGCCTGAGTCAGACTCATGAAACCGGACCTCACCCAGACTGCTCACCCTCTCTCTCTATGTTCCTCCCTTTTTTTATCTATTCACTCTTCATCTTTCATTTTTACTGCTCTGTCGGTTTGCCACTTTTTCTCAGTTCTCCATTTTCCTCATCCCATCCCGTTCTTTCTCTCGTATTCACCCCCGAGCAAACTTGCGAAGGACTATTGATCTCTCCATTCATCCTTTTTTTTTGCTTATCACTCAGCGATTTTTTTGAAGAGTTACCGTTTTTTCCCAGTTTGAAATGTCAAACTGAAGAACAGTCCAGCCCACTGATGGATGCATTTGAGTCAGACTGAAAGACAAGTGGTCTAAGTTACATGCAAGAAAATGACCGCTGAGAGTAAGAACAATTGTGGCATGGCTGTCTGATAGTTGTTTCTGGCAACGCCGGTACGATCGCAGACAGGATCATGAAGGTAATAAAAGCCAAGACACAGGAAATAGACCAGACTAAGAGAAACATATTAGCCTCAAATGCAGACAGATACCTTTTCCCACGCTTTACGATTCCTAACATACAGCCACGCAACTGTTGGTTTGCATAATACCGTCGTAGCGAGTGTTGAAACACACAGCTTGCAGTACAGTAACTCACAGCCACATGGATAAACACAGACAGTAAAAAGCAGGGATTTCCCGCCTCCCACGGACCGGCCCGGTCCCTACAATAAAGGTGTCTCTCTCACATAAACAAGCATGTTGTTTTGTTACCATAAACCACATGTCGCCTTTCTGGCAGCCCTCCCTTCCTTCCTGGCCCTTGTCATTAATAGCGAATTAAATAACGCTTACTGAGCCGACATCTGGCGAACACGACTTCAGCTAAAGGTGTTGCGTTCAGAGCGACCTTCCATGTAATTACTTCCGAGCAACATCAAAGACGGTGGCCATTCTTTCCATGTTGAGGCATAATCCTTAATGTGCTACAAATTTGTACCAAACATTCTTCGGTAGTGTCTCTTTGTCTGCTACTGGATAATAGCCGGGGAGGCTGTGGAGGAGGCAAATTAAAATGCCACGCTTACTGTAAAGTCTGTGGGAACCGCTGCTGTCAGAGATGGAAAGTTAGGTGTCCGACGGGTGGATTTGCTATCTGTAGCAATCTTGTAGCTTGTAGTTTAAAATCGACTCGGAATCATCATCAGATGCTGCAGCGGGTTGCAGCTGTTTGGAGCTCTGAAGTGTCTTTTAGCCAATAGTTGTGGTTTCACTGTTTGAATTCAGTCTCTCAGCTCATTACCAGTAGCAACAGCCTGAACCGAAAGGCACAAACACGCCGCCACCTGATTTAGATGTGTGTACGAAACAGCTGTTGATTCCTTTCATCCTTCTTCCTGCTCATACTGGATATTAAGACATTCTTTCCAAATGAAGTTTGTCTGAAGCGAATATGATGTCATCAGATGAGTTCAAGTGCCATCAAAATCAGCTGCTTTTAATGTTTTTGTAGCTTCTCAAAGAAAAGTCTTCTCCAAACATCGTACACTTTGTCGTGACTTTATATCTAACTATTAATGCAATAATTCCTATACAGTTCAGCCCAAATGTATTGTTGATTTATAGTGAGTTTTTCATTTGACCCGTAATCTTCCTGCTGGAAACTACATCAACAAGTTACAAAAGATAATAAGACATTGCATTAGAGATGATTAATTGTTCAGAAATATACTGCTAAAGTGGTCAAGCGATGGTTAAAAGAAAACAATATCAACAGGTTGGATGGAACAGGAGACCAGGGTGGTGGGAGGAAGACCTTTAACCTCAAAGGTCTGGAGATCATCACAGAGAGGACTGCAACAAAATCCCACAGAACAATCGTTAGCAAATATACGAACTGTTTGGAAAGAAGCTTTGCGACTGAGTTATAATAATTTTAAACAACTTTACATGGGGACATTTCTATCCATAAAAAATAGATGCATAGAAATAGGTTAAATACATTGTTTCTACCTCTAACAAAATATCACAGCGTCTCATTGTCTTTTTTATATCACTTGTTTTTTGTCTTCTCTAGCCAGAAGAAACATTTTTCTCAAATAAAAATTCACAAAAAATCTAAATTTGGCATGGATGGGTTTGAGTAATTTTGGGCTTAACTGTAGAGGGACTGAATATTATACAGACTAAAGCTGTAGATGAGGATGAGCGACAGAAAATTAACCATTTCACCTTGATGTGACAAAGTTACGTCAAATTTAAAGGGAATTTAATGCCAGGTGTAAATTTAAAGGAAACATACATGCCAGGTAAAATAATATATATAATATAATAAAGGGGATTATGTATTTTTATATATACAGTTGTAACAAATGTATTAGACCACCTGTCTAATTTGTTAAGCACTATATATTTCGAACATCCAGCATCATAAAGTGCTTTAATTTGCACTCAGCTCTCGACGTTTTAGCATTTTGAACAGGAATGAGGAATTTCAAACTGAATTCACCTTTTTTATACCAAAATTTGAGCCACTGAGCTTCTCTCAAAGTCAGAGAGCATAACATTCAACCACTAAAACTCATTTTTCTGTTCAGGAATGGAAGTAAATAACTAGAATTTGACATTTTAATCAAGAAATAATAATGTGCTTTACCTTTTTTTCAGTTTTTTTTTTGAAAATCAGAAAATTAGAAAATTCATAACAATAATAATTATATTTTAGCATTAAAAATGTCATTTTGCTTAAAGAGTTTCTACATCCTGGTGTATTAACCATTACAGAAACATAAGAAATGATTACCAATCCTATTAATTTAGTTCAGCTGTGGCATAAACCTGACATTGGGTGGTGGTCTAATAAATTAGTTAAGCACTGTATATATATGTTTCCATAGGAATTAATTCAAGGGCCAATTAGTGAAGCAGTCACCTGGCTTACTGTACTGAACTGAACTCTGCAGTTCCAATCTTCAACTCACATTCATATCTCCTTATGCTGCCATATTCAGACAGTGTTGTACCCAAAAAGACATCATTTAGTGACATTGTGAGGTAAAAGACATACAGAGCTGATGAGTATGTAGCTCTTCACTGCTGCTGAATCTGCCTTGAAGTCAATGGATTCATTCATGGCACTTTCTCTCTCACAGCAGCTGTAGAGTGACCGTGTGAGTATCGTCGTATCATGTGTGTGTGTGTGTGTGAGAGGGAAAGGACTGGTGGTGGTGGTGGTGGTGGTGGTGGTGGGACTCATATTTAACCTGTAACTTGAGAAGCTGATAACAAGGAGAGAATGAAGAATGAGCTCGCGAGGAAGGAGTGCGCGTCTGCGAGCGCGAAAAAGACAGTGAAAGAAAAGAGCTGTGCCTTTGTTTCCGTTGCTCATGTCCCGTTCCCCCCACCACCACCACCACCTCCTGATCTCCCTGGGAAATTCACTTCAATATTTTTTTCCGTCCTTTTTCGTTACTCATGTGTCTCCCCCCTGTTTGGGAGGAGGGTGAAAATGGTCTGAACAAGAGGGAGGAGGAAAAAACCCAGGGCAGTGAAAGAGAGGGGGGAAATAGCTCCAAAGCGTAGCCAGACTTTGCCTGCTTATTCAGCGCTGAGTGCTGCACTGCGCCGTCTCCAGTTGTGGGATGTTAAGATTTGCCTTTGGCTGCACTTCTCCCCACTCTCGCGCTCACATTAAGTCTCTTTAGACATCTTTATGCTCAATTTTGCTGGAGGAGGAGGAGTGAGAGAGGGAGAGACTAGCCAGACCTATTAGCCTGAAGCCTGAGACACACACACACACCAACTCTCTCTCTCTCTCTCTCTCGCTCGCTCGCTCTCTGACACACACACACTTGTACACTCCTCCAGCGCCGCGCTGCACCAAGGTAACAGTGAGTGGATTTAGCTTTAGCCATCTGGTCGGAGCACAGAGAAAACCTCTCTGCTGTAACACGGGGAGGAAGGCAGAGGACGATGCAGCACTGAAACCGACAGAGAAAAACCAAAGAGTGACGAGAGAGACACACACACACACCAACACACACACTGAGACAGGATGGCCACCGCAGTGTTTCAGGTAAGGACCGTGGACGTCTGCGATCGGAGCTCCTGGCTGTCCCAAGTGTTGCCTGTTTCCCCTCTCTGCATTGTGGATGTGCCTGATTTGGTCCAAAAGAAACAGAGAACTCTAAGTTCTCTCAGATGTGTGTTTTCAGTCATGCATGTGATCCAGCAGAGGTGCTCTACTTGTCATGTCAGTGGATTGTACATATGCATTCACTGTACAGTACGTATGCGGCGATGTGTGTGTGTGAAAGAGTGATTCCAGATGTAAAGTATTATTGCCTGTGTGTGTGTTTACACAGCAGAGAGCATTGCTTCAAGTGTGCGTTCACCACCGGAGCTGCTGTGGATGAGAGCAGTATGTATGTAATGAGTTTGTTGTATTAGTGAAGTCTGCGTTGATGTAATGTAAAGCGCTGCTTGTTTCTGTAGCGCTCGTGTATGTGTGTGGTCTCCTTGGCTTACCATGTTTTGTGGTTGGTGGCCCACGGTCATAGCTGGAATGACAGAGGCGACGCTTCTCTTCTCTTCTCTTCTCTTCTCTTCTCTTCTCTTCTCTTCTCTTCTCTTCTCTTCTCTTCTCTTCCTCTCTGTCTTTTTCTCTTTCACTCTCTTTTCCGACCCACAGGTCAAAGCTCAGTTTGAAAAGAAAACCAGCATTTGTGGTAGAAAGTGATATGTCATCCATCAAGCATGTAAATGTTCTTTGTATGTGAGAGAGAGAGAAAGTGTGTGTGCTTGCCATGTTCCACCAGATTTCCAGTGCAGCCATGAACTCGGCTGCGGTGTTTCACAATAGGACCTTGCAAAAGTTGTTGCACAGAAATCATCGCCCTCCAGGCGTGAGAAAAGCCGACAGCACTTTGGGAATTTTTGGCACGTAGAGCAAGTTAGGATTGCCTCCAGTTTGCTTCGAATTAGGAAGAAAAAGAATAAAAGCACAGTGTGAAAACATAGAGCGTATTCTTAAACAGATTTGCAAGGTCACACTGTACACTGACAGCTGTGATTTTCCCTCTCAGCTCTTTGTGTGTGTGGGTGTCTGGATTCTTAATGGATTTACATTCTTTAAGGAGGATATAGTGTTGCCGGCACAAGATTGTAGTCTGGAAGAGAGAGGTTGCACTGGGTTTAGTTCTTTGCACATAAAAATACTAATAAATGTATTGAAGTTCAGTGAAGCAGCCTGAAGAAGGTATCTCTGGTTGTGTGTGATGTTCCAGTTCCTGTGGTTCTGGTACCAGAACACTGAGACCGATCAGTCACATCGCTCATAGTTGCCTCTGCTCACCTCCTGCTCTCTGTGCATTGCATATGTACCCAATCACTTCCAGGTTTGCTTCCAAGTATACTGTGCACAGCAAATTATAGTACATGGTATTTGGGAGCTTCGTCATCTCCCCAGAGACCCCGAAGCCCAGCAATACTCCTACTGTATACTGTTTTCTATAACAAGACTTATTTTAGAAACATGTGCCACATGAGCACAATGTAAACTACAGAGCCGGGGTCTTAAAATTAGATTATAACGTGAGGCCAAAAGGATCCAGAACGTCTTAAAGCAGGGATGGCATTGAGAAAAAGCCAGTGGAATTTCCATTGGCTTTCTGTTGCAATTGATTAATTAATTGATAATCATTTACATTAGATGCAGCACGCTGTATAAAAGCATTTAGGTTAAAAAGTTGCTTTGGTAACAGATACTGGATTTATCCTGTCGAGTTTATAAATGTAAGTCCAATATTTGCCCTCCTTTTGGCTCTGTTTTGGTCTCCACCAGCTCTTGAGGGAAACCTCTGCAACAGCTGCACTATGTTCTCCTCATAGAGCTTTCTTATCGAGGAAAAACTTCTGTTGCTAGAAATGAGGAAATGAATCAGTAATCTCAAAGGAGCTCAACCGAAAGAATCAAACCGCTCATTCGCCCTAACAAATCAGCTGCCAGGTTTGCTCTAATCCTAATGCAAAAACATTGATTAGATCTTTATTCCACGCTGTAATGTAGATTCGGTGACATCACGTTTGTCGTTACTTGTGGGATACGTAACCCCACGCATTCCACTGTAAATTCCTCGGCCTGTGCGAGTGTAACACGGCACTGTCCTGCCTGTTCAGCGGCGTTACCCATGACTCCTAGTTGTGTGGGAATGGTGTACATCTATTGGCAGGGAGCCCGCGCCGGACTGGATTTCAGCAGAGACATTTTTCATCATTACTGTCTGCCAGGGAAGCGGTGCTCCAGTCAACACCCCTTCCCACCCCACCTTTCAGACGACTCATGATAGATCCTTAACCACAGCTACGCGCTCAACCACACATGCAGCCAGGACAGCGACGCAGGAAGGGCTGGGCCATTTGGGAAGGTGTGTCGAGTGTGTGTGTGTGTGTGTGTGTGTGTGTGTGTGTGTCTGGGATTAGGGTAAGGCAGTGGTCCATAAAGAAATTTAAAAAACCACCAGCATGAATTCTCATGCTCGTCTGCTGATGTAATCCTTCCTCGGTTTGTGCGTGTGTGTGTGTGTGTGTGTGTGTGTGTGTGTGTGATTCCTTCTAGACACAGCTTAACCTCTTAGTGTGGATTAAATAATTAGAGCGTTTTGTTTCTTGTGTTTACCATTATCTCACTGACACAGATTGTGATTGTGCAAAAGACCGGTTTGTTTCATAGGGAGATAGAAGGGGACTTGGCGTTGGCCCCTTATTCAAGGGCAGGAAGGTACACTGTGATATAAGCCAAGAGACACTTTTAAATTTGTTCAATGTTATACTCAAGTACAGTACAAAGTTTGCATATCCAGCATAGGTTAAATCAATACATGTTCTGTATTATAATAGACCTGACGTACTCTTTCTTATACAAACGGTTCTGCAGAACAGTAATGTGTGCACAGCAATTTATCTATACCCTTTGTCCTCCGGACTCAGTGTTGGCACATACTGCAACCCTGCAATACATTAGCAACATAAATAATCTATAGCCATGCCAAAGCATCATGCCTTAAAGTTAAGCTTTTAGTATAATGAATAGCATCCAGTGAGAGCACAGTAAAAGCTTCGCATTTATCAAGGGCGTCATATAATGTTTCGCTTATGGTGGTTACTTAGCAGGTCGTCTGGCACATATGAGAAACTGCTGTCATAGGCCCACAGGAAGGTGTTTAAAGAGTGTATGAAGGAACATATCCGGAGACTAATGTTGCAGTTGAAATGAACAGTGGACCTCTTTAGAATTTACTGCTCAGAGCCTCTAACAACTGCAACGACACGAGAAAGCCCACCAACTTGGACCAAGTCGCGTCTGTTTTCGGTTTTATTGTTGGGTATCATTTTGTGCTACAGCTCTAATTGGCCATAATTGTGCATCAAATACAGTTTGTCACATTTTTATTTACTTTTTTTTTTTGGGGCTGGAAGTCTGTTTTCGTCTAATTGTTTGATTTGTTGTTTTCTTCCCAAGGACTTGCCCACAGTATTCCCATGTTTCCTGTCTTCAGTGGTAACTGGAGCCAGCCCTTGACTTTCAGACCCTCACAGTATAATACTCTTTAAATAGAGGAGCTACTTATAATACCCCAGAAAAGAGGAGCATTATAGTGAAACATTTAATGACGGCTAATCTTTTAAATGACTCCATGCAATCAAGCTTGAGGCCTGGTATAATGGCCCTTTCTTGAGCGGTGTTTGCAGTTGCAAAGTCATGGAACGTATTGAGAAAGAGGGGAGAAGAAAACTGCTGTTCCTCCATTCGTTCACTTTCCCAGCCTTTGGTTTTGGGTTTTAGTTTGACGGGGAACTTGTTTTGATCACAAAGTCCCATCATTCCTCATTTGCCAGGACGACTAGACTGATTATCAGCAGACAGACTTCTTACCTCTCTGTACCACATGTAATGTTTGGTAGTCTCCAATCAAAGGCCTTATTTGACCCTTACAGGGCACCATCGTAGAAACACAAACCTGTTTTGGCTTCAAAGCAACATGATGCTTATTGAATGTGGCTCCACCAATGAAACTCAGCTGAAAGAGTTTTGAAGGCTACAGCTCATGATGCCCTCAAATGCACAGCCTGGGATGTTGTACATAATACAATCAGAGTTCCTCTATGCTCTGTGATCCTGTATAGTCGGGTACATCACAGTTATGGTAGCAGTTTATTTCTGTTCTCATTTTTAGTGTTTAGACCTAGTCAGGATAATTTTGCCTGTTAACTGGGTTATAGAAGGGTTACTCAGGATGATGTGCCCGGGGTACAACTAGTGTCTCTCTCATGCTTTAAGCCCACTCACCAATACATCATTATTTTTGTTTCTGCAGGATATTTGAGGGAATCACAACATCTAAACATTTAGATCTTCTTCATAGCTTGAGACCAAGACAGAAAATATACAACCCCAACTTGGAAGAAGTCGTAGCAGTATGGAAAATGCACATATACACACACAAAGCTGTGATTTGTTATTTCGCTTCGACTTATATTTCATCGCATATAAAGACAAGCTATTTATTGTTGTATCTGGTTGTAAACGTACATCTAGTGTTTCCATTCAGGCCTGCAACACATTCCAAAGAGAGCTGTGGTGGGGGTATTTTAGGACTAGTAATGAGGTAAAAAATTTGGATAATGATGTGATTTAAAACAGCTGATGCCAGCAGGTGATTGTAATTATGGTTCGGTACAAAGGCAGCATCCAGGAAAGGCCTAATCCTTCAGGAGCAACGACGGACTAAGAAATGCCAATCTGCCCACAAAGCATGAGGAAATTATTTAAATGTTTAAGAACAATGTTTCTCCAACAACGATAGGAAAAGGCTTCAGATACATTGCACAACTTAAAAAGATTCAGCGAATCTCGAGGAACTTATGTGCCTTAAGGTGAAGGATGCAAACCTAAGCTAAAAGCCCTTGATTTGCCTTCACTTAGACAACACTGCATCAACAACCATCATTTATCTCTAAGTTATGTAAAACCACTCCCTCAGGATTACTTCAAAGAATATAGCGGGTAGTTGCATC